CACAAACCTTTTTGTTCATAATCCAGCACTAGCCCCCAAAATAAGGAAATTGTGAACATGCACTGCTGCAGAAGAACAAAAATTCTGAGGTAAAGACTCCTTATCCCTAAATAGTTTGCTCTAAAAAAACTCTCCGTAACATCCTTAGGAAGCCCTTGTCCCAGATACGTGGCCAGGCAGCTGTCAGGTGTCCTCTATGACTCCATCCTGTGCCCCCTCCACACAGCAGACACACTGTGCTCCATCACCTCATTTAAGAATAGGAGTAATTTGTTTCTGTGAATATGATTTTAATAATATTCCATAAGTATTCAGTCATCAAAGCCTTCTCCATATCAGGAAAAAATCCAAAGTAATCAGCAAATATTTTCTGTGTGTATATATATGCATATATACACATATAATTAAAAAAAAAATCCCTTTCCGTAATTTAGTTCTGGCTTCTCAGTGATGGAAACAGTGAAGGACTCAGTGTCAAAGCACACTGTGATAAGACTTTTTCAGGGCAATCAGTTTCTTGTGCATTATTCATCAGGCTTGCTCTAATTCCACAATGACTCCACCACTGTCACCAGGATGGAGAAAGATCATTGGTTTTCTATGTGCTCGTATTTTGGCCTCTTCACTTAGATAACAAATCTTTTCTTTCAAATCCATCACAGTTGCATTTATATTATCCACCTTAAGACAAGGAAATAAACAAGAACACATCTGAAATCATAAAAAACACCAAATTATAGTATCATAAGACATAGGAGAAACTTTGTGAATACATGTGTATAACTCCTCTGCCTTTGGGCAGAACCATTCTTTAACCATCACAAAAATAAGCTTAATACTTCTAGAGACCAAAAAGGAGGTTGCTAAATATTCCTGGGTAAGGAACCACATGCTTAAGAATTTTCTGCTAGTAAACATTTCTCCTTAGGGCCTAAATGATGTCTTCTCCACTTCACAGTATGTCCTTGTGGCAACATTATTGATGATTCCTCACAAATTATTTTTCTAAGAGCCTTGGGTTCCTCATTCATAAGAGGAAGATGAGACCTGCCATATAAATTGCCAAGAGATCAAAATGAGATAACAGATAAGCAGCTCTTAGCACAGTTTATAGAAGGTACTCAACAAATATGAATGTTTCCCTGATCTCCTAACCTCCCATCTGCCAAACTGTCTGGTTATTACTTTTATTTTGGCCTTGCAGTGTGGCATGTGGGATCTTATCTCCCCGACAAGAGAACTGTGAGCATTTCCAGGGAGTTACTGAGCATGAGGGTGGGTTTGTGCTGTTCTGTGCTTAGTCACTCAGTCGTGTCCAACTCTTTGTGACCCCATGGACTGCAACATGCCAAACTTCCCTGTCCTTCACTGTCTCCCAGGGTTTACTCAAACTCATATCCACTGAGTCAATGATGCCATCCAACCACCTCATCCTTTGTTGTCCCTTCTCCTCCTGCCTTCAATTTTTTCCAGCATCAAGGTCTTTTTCAGCAAGTCAGCTCTTGACATCAGGCTGCCAAAGTATTGGAACTTCAGCTTCAGCATCAGTCCTTCCAGTGAATATTCAGGGTTGATTTCCTTTAAGATTGACTGGTTTGATCTCCTTTTAGTTCAGTGGATTCTCAAGAATCTTCTTCAGCGACACAATTTGAAAACATCAGTTCTCTGGTGATGGCTGGCTCTAAACTTTGCAGTCTGACTAACAGGCATATCAATTAAAGTTTATATATATAAACTTATATATATATATATATATATATATATATATATATATATATATATATATATATATATATATATATATATATATATATGCATGCTAAGTCACTTCACTCATGTCCCGGTCTTTGCAACCCTATGGGCTGTAGCCTGCCAGGTTCCTCAGTCCATGGGATTCTCCAGGCAAGAGTACTAGAGTGGGTAGCCATGCCCTCCTCCACATATGTATATATACACATACATACATTGTGTGTATGTATAGGTGCATATGATGTCAACTGTATACATTAGTTGTATTTGCTTTTTAATTTGTCTTAGCAATTTTTCCATGTCAGTACATAAAGGTCAACAACTTTTAACCTACTATATAGTATCCTAATAATTATTTCATAGAAATACAAAAGATGACCTAATCCTTCCAGTAGTAATAAACATTTGGACTATAAGAATGGAAATGGGCTCTTCTCAATGGTTTGGTAATAAACTATGCACCCCTGGTGTTGCCTGTAGAACAAAAGAGTTTGGTGTAAGTTTGTGGACACCACTCCGCTGGCATCTGAGGCCACATGCACATAGCAGGGACAGGCAGAGACAGGTATAAATATTCTAGAGTGAAACTAAGAGATATGGAGGACAGCTTCATATATGCTAACAAACATGAGCTAAAGAAAAAGAGACCAGCTGGAGTAAGAGTAGAAATATTTGAAGAGATATCTGATAATTCTACATAATTGAAGAGAGAGATGAGTTCTCACATTAAAAGTGCACTTGAGAATGAAGCAGGATAAAGATAAACCAATACCAACACATGTAATAGAGAAACCTAGTAACATCAGTGACACAAAGAATATTTTAAGAACTTTGCAAGGCAGGAACAGAGGCACAGATGTAGAGAATGGGCTTGTGGACACAGTTGGGGGAGGGGAGGGTGGGACAAATTGAGAGAGTAGTATTGACATATATACACTACTATGTGTAAAATAAATAGCTAGTGTGAAGCTGCTGTATAAAAAGAGCTCAGCTTGGTGCTCTAGAGGGGTGATGATCTAGAGGGGTGGGATGGGTGTGGAGGGTGAGAGAGAGGCTCAAGAGGGAGGGGATATACATATGCATACAGCTGATTCGCACTGTTGTACAGCAGAGATTAACACAGCATTGTAAAGCAATTGCATTCCAATTAAAATAAGAAAAAAAACACCTGTATTTAAAGCATTAGTCAGTCAGTCAGTTCAGTCGTTCAGTTGTGTCTGGCTCTCTGCGACCCCATGAATCAAAGCACACCAGGCCTCCCTGTCCATCACAAACTCCCAGAGTTTACTCAAACACATGTCCATTGAGTCAGTGATGCCATTTAGCCATCTCATCCTCTGTCGTCCACTTCTCCTCCTGCCCCCAATCCCTCCCAGCATCAGGGTCTTTTCCAATGAGTCAACTCTTCACATGAGGTGGCCAAAGTATTGGAGTTTCAGCTTCAGCATCAGTCCTTCCAATGAATACCCAGGACTGATCTCCTTTAGGATGGACTGGTTGGATCTCCTTGCAGTCCAAGGGACTCTCAAGAGTCTTCGCCACACTTTCCAATCTTTCCTAGCATCAGGGTCTTTTCCAATGAGTCAGCTCTTGAGTCAGGCCAAAGTATTGGAGCTTCAACTTCAGTCTCACTACTTCCAATGAACATTCAGTGTTGATTTCTTTTAGGATTGATAGGTTTGATCTCCTTGCTGTCCCAGGAACTCTCAAGAGTCCTCTCTAGCACCACACTTTGAAAGATCAACCTTTGGTGCTCAGCCTTCCCTATGGTCCAGTTCTCACATCTGTACATGACCACTGGATAGCTTGAGCTGGACCAACCAAATCTTTGTGTATCACTTCATGTTGTTCATATGTGTACCTGATCTCAAGTCCATCTTCGATATGCTTACTTGTATGCTCTGTATAACAGTAAAATGCCTTTAAAACTTTATTTTTTAAAAATATTTAAATAATGTCATTAATCTTATGGGGATACAATAGATGATTACTAATTGTATTGATGTCTAATTATTCTCATTTTAAAGATGTAGAGTCTGATGCACAGAGTGATTTTCTTGACGTCATATGGAAACCATGAGTATAATTTGTGAGACATTTTCAGTTTCCCAGATAAATAATATCATGAAAAAAAAGACCCCTGCTTACACCACCCCCCCTCCACACAACTAAATGACAACAAAAAGGCTCAAAGGAGATATAACAAGCAAAGGCAATATGTGCCTATTATCGGAATTTTCCTTCAGCGAAAGACCCTATAAAAACTACAGTAGAACAAATTTGAATATCTACTAGATATTTCATGATATTAAAGGATTACCATTAATTTTGTCTTAGGAGCCATTATGATTTTGTATAAATATGTAAAAAATGCAACAAACACACACATACAACTGAACAATTTATGTATTAAATTACATAAGGTCTAGAAATGGCTTTACAGTAACATAGGAAGAGGGAAATGTAGACACTAACACAACATTGTAAAGCAATTATACTCCAGTTAAAAAAAAAAATAAGAAAGCACTTCATTCTCACTTTCCATAGAATTAGTCAAATAGAAGTTCCTTCACATGCATCTTCTTTCTATATATATGTAAGTTTTTCTTTTTGAAAGGCAACTTTTCAAAAGTGTTTATTAGAATGCACATTACTTTGCTATAAGTAAAAGAAAATACAGTTACGCTTAAATCTTCTAGCCTCATTAGCATGCATGTCTTCTCCAAGACTGTCAAACTTTCCAATAATTATTTGTAAAATAGTTATTTACAGTGAATTGCCAATCATACTAAGGCCCTGGGTCTTTCAGAGAAGTGTCACCAGATTCAACTGCCCCTGTGAAATGCACTGGGGTCACTGCCCCTCGCTGCTGGGCTGTCCCAACCACTGGCTGCAGCTGTCTACACTTGCCAGCAGTACCAGATCCCTATGACTGACTGAAACCACCCGGGGAGGGGCGACAGTCTCAGGGACCACCCCCACGTAAGCAGATCCAGAGCAAGCAGGTGAAGGACCCAAGCTCTGCTGGGGTGCAGCCCTGGCTGCCAATCAGCCTCAACAAGATTTCCTCAGCGTTTACTATGGCATCTGATGCGTGAACAGGGGTGGCCAGGACTTCCATGCATAACTGAACGCATGGAGAACTGACTCGCGTGCTGACTTGGGGGCTGCACAGATGCCTTTGCTCTCGGCCCCTCACTCTGCTTCCCCAGGGCCAGCCAGAATCCTACCTCCTCTTGGGGCTACTTGGATCACTCCTCCGAGGTCCTGGTCTTGGTCTTGAAGCTCCTCTGGACGTCGGCAGGGTGCTTGGCCTCGGGAGGGAGGTTCAGAGACTTGGGCCTGCCCTTGTGTTTGGGTCTGCACCTGTGTCTGCTGGGGCCGCGGCCGGCCTCGGTGGGTGGGCAGGCCTTGGGGGAGTCTTGGGCCCCAGCTCCGTCCACTCCTCCACAGCCTCCTGGCACTTGTCCATCTCCAGGTGGTGTGCGTCATGGGCCATGTAGCCCTACCCCTCACAGTCCGTACCCTGCAGGTAGCTGTCGTCCTTGGGGCAGTAGTGGATGTAGCAGGTAATGCCCTCCTCCTCTTCGGGCAGCCCCAAGTTGTAGTCCTTCTCCTCCGAGGTGTTGTTCATGTAGTCAGAGCTGGAGTCCCTGTTGGGGCTCTGGTCGGGGCCGCCCTGCTCAGCGGACACATGCTCTTAGGCCTCAGGGCTGCCAGCTCCAGGCCAGTGGGCATGTACTGCTCCAGGGCCAGCTCCGGGTCCTCACTCTCGGGATCCAGGCCCTCTCACCCTGTGGTCCAGTAGGCTGCTCGCAGTGCTCTGATGCTTCAGGTGGGCCATGGCAGGGCTCACACTGCTGTCTTCACCAGGAGGCAGCCACTGCAGACAGGAAGGGGGACAGGAGAGTCAGAACCCGACCCCAAACAGCCAACCCAAGGAGCACACCCAGGAGAAGTAACTCGTGTCATTCAAATGACAGGATACCCCTCCTCAGCTGACTCTGGTGTCAGGATGAGCACATGTTCTGCCAAAGAGACAGGACAGCACCAGGGCTCAAGGAGGATAAGGGGACCCTGGGGACTTCCCAGGACACCTGTTACTTCCCCCCAACTCCCTGCTCATTCATAAATTCTCTGTTTGACTTGATTAGCATATAGTTAACTTACAGTGCTGTGTTCATTTCCGGTGTACAGCAAAGTGCTTCAGTTATATACATCTATGTGTGTATATGTGTATACATATATATGTATATATATGTATGTATATATACACATATATACATATTATTTTTCAGATCCTTTTTTAATATAGTTCCCTGTGCTGTACTGCAGGTCTTTGTTGATTGTCTAATTTATATATAGTAGTGTGTATCTGTTAATACAAAACTCCCTATTTATTCCTCTCCCCAGCCTTTCTCTTTGGTAACCATGGTTTATTTTCTGTCTGTGAATCTGTTTCTCTTTTGTAAATAAGTTCATTTATATCTTTTTTAGATATGATGATATTATATGATATTTGTTTGTGACTTATTTACTTCACTTAATATGATCATCTCTAGGTCCATCCATTGCTGCAAATGGCATTCTTTCATTCTTTATGGCAGAGTAATATTCCATAGTATATATGTAGCACATCATCTTCATTCATTCATCTGTGGATAGACATTGAGGTTGTTTTTATGTTTTGTCTATTGTAAATAATGCTGCACTGAACATTGGGGTGCATGTATCTTTTTTCGGATATATGCCTAGGAATGGGGTTGCTGGATCATATAGTAGCTCTATTTGTAATATTTTAAGGAACCTCCATACTGTTCTCCATGGTGGCGGCACCAATTGACATTCCCAGCATCAGTGTAGGAGGGTTCCGTTTTTACCACACCCTCTCCAGCATTTATTATTTGTAGACTGTCTAACAATGGCCTCTTTGGCTAGTGTGAGATGTTACCCCACTGTAGTTCTGATTTGCATATCCCTCATAATAAGTGATGCTGAGCATCTTTTCATTTGCCTGCTGACTGTCACACTCATGACTTTGTGAAGATGGTTCCTGGGTTGAGGATCCCAGGTGACTGAGACAATGGGTCGTAAAATCAGGTTATTTGTTCTCAGAAAGAAAAAGAGAAGCTTTCATTCCAAAGATATTATGATGCCAAAGAGGAGGTGCCCTACCCCTTCCAAATCTAATATGCTGCCCCTGAAGCCCATCTCCAATCTTCCCACTGCCTGCCTCCAACTCCCAGCACACACAAGCTTCTGCTTCCTCCTCATCCCAAACAAAACCACTGACCAGATTTGCCAGGAACTGTCCAGGCTGAAGGCCACACAGAGACACTGGACAGGATCCCCAACCTCACAGGCTTGATGGGGCGGGGCCTCAGGATGGATGAGGGGGGAAAACCAGAGGGAGGACAGCCACCAAGAGAAGGGGGCACTCAGGAGGGTACAAGGGATGTGGCTGCCATTTCAGGGGTACAGGTCATGATACCGCAGGGCACTGCAAAGATCCCATGGGCCCCAACCGGGGAGGTCCTGAACCCCACCATCCAGAACCCTATGTTTTATCCCACAAAACATAGAGTCCCTGGGTAACTCTCAACAGGCACGTTGACTCACAGGATTTCCCTTTCAGCCCCTTGGATAGACAGTGGGGGAAGGGAGGTCAATGGAAATCTCCTTCCTGTCCTCTAGGGAACCTGAAAGGCTCATGTGTGGCTGTGTCTCCGTAGCATCACCAGACTCCGGCAGATCAACAGCGCTTCCCCAGGGCAGCCCACACACTAGATAAGGTCCCACAGCAGGAAAACTCACTGAGATGGACCCTGCAGGGTCTCAGCATCCTTCTGTGTCACCCCATCCCCAAACCTGAAACTTATGGGCCCATTTCAGAGACCTGCTCCCAGGCAGAGGCAAGGTGTCCAGTGTTGCCTGGAACACGGGTGACCACAGAGGATGCACCCAGAGCACCAAGCATCATTTTACAGCAGACTCCCCATGTTCACTTTGCTGTACAGCAGGGACTAACACAACCTCATAATGCAATCATAGTCTGATAAAAAGATGGCAGAGGAGAAAAATCAAAGTGGCAATAATTTCAATTTTTAAAAAGCATAACCTTTCTGGAAACTAACTTGCAACTGGGAATCAAAACCTTTCAAAAGACTGGTTTGGCAATTCCAAATCTAGAAACGTACACTAGATAAACAATGATGTATATGTACAAAGTGGAAGTGAAAGTCACTCAGTCATGTCTGACTCTTTGCGACCCCATGGACTATACAGTCCATGGAACTCTCCACGTCAAAATACTGGAGTGGGTAGCCACTCCCTTCTCCAGGGGATCTTCCCAACCCAGGGATCCAACCCAGGTCTCCCACATTGCAGGTGGATGCTTTACCAGCTGAGCCACCAGGGAAGTCCATATGTACAAAGGTATAGCCTAAAAAGGATGTCCATTTCACCATTACATTGTTTGAAATAAAGAACATTTATTTGTTAACGTACAAATCACATATCACCTAAATGTCCAATAATATGCAATTTGTACATTATGATAAAATAGTTTGATGTGTATTGCAGTCATTAAAAATGATACTATTACAACCATTTCATGGAAGATACAATATGTTAAGTAAAATGCACAGGTTATAAAATATTATACTCATTTATGAAAATATATATTTATATTAAATAATGCATTTGGGTAAAAAAACAAAACAAATCAAAGTTACAGATGGTGGCTGGATATGCCCGCTTCAAGGGGAGATGTCTAGTCCCTCTCATGGGGAGTTTGCATTCCTGGCAGCTGGGGTGGGGCCGCAGCTCACAGGCTGGGGAAGTGAACACATTTTCTGCCCCCCAGGTGGCATGCACGTTGTCCCCTGAAACAAACAGATGTGGCCAAGGACAGCCCACTTCTATCCACAGTTAAAAAATAGAGGTTTCTTCCTTCTCTTGCCTCAAAAAAGAAATCCAAGTGGCCAAGCCACTGCAGCAAGTAGGCTGAAAAATCAGCTTGCACCCTACTTCATACTGCCCAACAGTGATGGAATTTTATATACATGACATCAGGTTTTCTCACTCAAGATATGTCTCCCCATTTATTCGAGCCTTAAATATCAACAGCACTGTGGGTTTCTTCATAGCTATAGACACAGGAAGCTCATTCTAAGACGTTTTAGTTTTTGTAGCCATGGGGAATAGATTTTCTCTGTCATATACCTGTTGTTGGTACATAAAAAACAATCTATACTGATCTCGTAAAAGCCTTTTTATTTTGTTTGTTCATTTTTGGCTGTGTTGCATCTTACTGCTCGAGTTTTTCTCTAATCAGAACGAGTAGGGGCTGCTCTCTGGTTGTGGTGTATGGGCTTCTCATTGCAGTGGCTTCCCTTGTAGGGGAGCATGGGCTTTAGTAATGAGGCACGTGGGCTCATTAGTTTTGGCTTCCAGGCTCTAGAGCTCAGGCTCAATAGCTGAAGAACAAAGGCTTAGTTGCCCCACAGCATGTGGGATCTTCCTGGATCAGGGATCGAACTTCAGTAGCAGGCATGATTCTTTACCGCTGGGCCACCAGGGAAGCCCGAAAAGCCCATTTTGACATTTCAATACTTTTAATTGATCGTTTGATTCTTTTTTCCAGCATTCTGTCTGTCTGCACTGCCCTTCCATTTACATGATGGAGGTACTGGGGCATCCCTGACTTATTCCCAATTGTAATGAAAATGCCTTTCCATTTTTAAAATTATTTTTTATTGGAGTCTAGTTGCTTTACAGTGTTGTTAGTATCTGCGGTACAGCAAAGTGAATCAGCTACACGTATACATATATCCCCTCTTTTTTGGATTTCCTTCCCATTTAGGTCACCACAGAGCATGGGATTGTCATACAGGTTTCCCAGGTGGTGCTAGTGGTAAAGAACCCACCTCTCAATGCAGGAGATATAAAAGATGCGAGTTCGATCCCTGGGTCAGGAAGATCCCTGGAGAAAGGCATAGCAGCTTACTCCAGTATTCTTGCCTGCAAAATCTCATGGACGAGGAGCCTGGCAAGCTGCAGTCCACACGGTCACAGAACCGGACATAACTGAAACAACTGAGCACACACACACACAGAGTGCACTAAGTCAGAAAGAAAAAAGCAAATATCATATATTAAGGAAAATGTCTTTACTTTTTAAAGGCAGGGCTGGCCCAGGGTGAGGTAGGCATGACCCTTGCCTCAGGCGCAAGATTTGACAGGGTGCCCAAAACTCAGGAATCAAAATAGATATAATTTTAATGCAAGACTTAAAAAAATAAAAATTAATGCAAAAAAAAAATCCATGATGAACAAGATAGTAAAATGTTAAAGACAAGATTGATTATTACTGATTTGTTTTTTGGGGGTTCCGGCTCCAATAGGGCTTGGCTGGCCTCTGTGAATGATCCTTTTTTTTTTTTTTTCTTCTTCAAGTTTTCCCCGTTACAGACTTCCCTGGTGGCTCAGTGGTAAAGAATCCACCTGCACAATGCAGGAGACACAGGTTAGATCCCTGATCTGTGAAGATCTCACATGCTGTGGAGCAACTAAGCCCGGGAACTGCAACTACTGAAGCTCGCATGTCCTAAAGCCTGTGCTCTGAAATAAGAGAAGCACTTGCAATAAGGACCCCTCACACTATACTAGAGAGTAGCCCCTGCTCACTACAATGAGAGAAAAGTCCAAGCAGCAATGAAGACAGCTATAAATAACTAACTAAATGAAATTATATATCAAAAAAGAAGAACCGACCTTCCAATGCAGGAGACTAGGGTTTGATTCCTGGCCAGGGAACTATTAATAAGCTCTCACACGCTGAGAGGCAACTAAGCCCATGCCCCACATCTAGAGAAAGCCCAC